TTGGTTACAACGATAACTCTTTTCCACCTGATCATTCCATACGATACCTCACGGACTACCGCTTTAGTCTACCTCGCCTTAGTACGGACCGAGCCTAGAGAAGTATAGCCTAACCCCGTGTAACAATTAAGGTCGACTTTTGTAACGTTACAGTTACTCATACGCACCCCGGAAAAAATGACACGCTACGTACTCAAATATGGCTTCCTCTGGATCCTGACTGGAATGGTCGTTTCACAATGGCTGGTGGTGGGGGTTGGTCTGCGGGATTCAGTTCATCGTTCGCCAACATGTACGGGTCAGTTTTGCCTATGTACGGATCGCATATGAGACGTTTACTAACTTCGTATACCCACGTTTAGTCAAGTGACTGGAGGCTACGCAAGTGCGACCGTCGATGGCGGAGTAGAACATGAGAATGGATCTTCTGTAGCAGAATGGGCTCTCACTAGCCCTGGCAACGTCGACTATAACGCACTCCAGGATTTCGCATTTAACGGACTTATCGACGGTGCATTGATTGCAAAAAGCATTATCAAGACTTTCTACCACTCTCCCCCTACGTATTCGTACTGGGATGGCTGCTCTCAAGGCGGTAGACAGGGTTATCTTTTCGCACAAAGATTTCCAGACGTTTTTGATGGAATCGCAGCAGCCGCGCCCGCCATCAATTGGAGTCCATTCTTCTTTGCCGGAACGTACCCTCATCAAGTGTTCTACGAACTCAACGCGACTGGTTTTCCGCACCCCTGCGAGTTTGAAGCTCTTGAGAAAGCTGCTATAGCGGCTTGCGATGGTCTTGACGGGTTGATTGACGGGTTGATCTCGGATCCAGACAAGTGCTACATCGATCCACGAACGCTGGTTGGATCCGCAGTTAACTGCAGTGCAACTGGTGGGCCTTCGACTATATCGGCTAATGCTGCCATAATTATGGAAGCGGTTTGGGAGGGGCCTCGTACGCAAAATGGGTCCTTTCTTTGGTACCCAGCAGGCTATGAGGTAAACGGCGGTTCACTAGAAGCTCCTGGTCCCGAAATCATCGGCAGCACCTGCAACAACGGCACCTGTACGCCCCTGAGAGCTACACTGTTTACGGATTGGATCAAGTATTTTATCGAAAAAAACCCGGACTACAATTTGAACAATATGACCCGCGCTGAGTGGGTGGAAGATTTCGTAGCAGGAGAGCGGGAGTACAAATCTATCATTAATACTGATTTTCCGGATCTTAGCGGGCTTCGAAGATCAGGAGGGAAGCTTCTTACATGGCATGGACTGGTAAGTACTGTTCAAACGTCTGGACTATACAAACGACTGACATTTCTTGTGAAGGCAGATGGGGCAATACCATACGGAGGAACGCGCGATTACTTCGACCGGGTATCTGTTCTCGATCCTGAGTTAAGAGATTACTACCGCTATTTTGAAGCACCAGGCGCGCGTCACTGCATAGATGGACAAGGCGGTTCTCCACATGAGACATTCCAAGCTTTAGTTGATTGGGTTGAGAAAGGCATTGCACCCGAGACACTTACTGCCCGGAACGCGGAAGACAAAGAGCGTCTGCTTTGTTTGTATCCAAAGAAAGCCGTGTTCAAAGGTAATCCTTCGGAGTATACCGCTCAAGACTTCGTGTGCGAATAGCCTATCAGCAACCGGATCCACAATCCCTCACGAAATAATGTGAGGTAGCCCTTGCGAGAAGCACTTTGAGCTTAATCTCCATAGTGCGGTAGCTTTCTAGATAGAATCCAAGAGTCCAGGGTTTCTTCCATTTGTATCCTATCAGAAACGGTGATCATGTTAACGCGATGCACGTTGACAGCTTGGCTGCGACTCAGCTGTAAAGGTTTGTTGACTCATCTTGGTACATGATAACTAGATAGGGAAGAACAAGGTTGTATTCTGTGGATAACCCTTTCTCACAAGTAGAGAATGGTAAAAAGGGTTGCGGGATGTCACTTCAATGCCTCCCAGGTGGCTGGTGAGGCTGATTCGCGTAGTGACGTCACGCGAGTTACTAGCGCGAATGAGTCGAAATGACTATTGGATGTTCATAGTGAGTTGACTACCGTGAAGCTGAATATCACTTAAGCTGTGTGTATGTTGTACCATACAAAGTCTTCTCTCAGCACCGGATTTTCTCCCAAACCACGGATTCCTGTCAGCAATTGAGCCAAATTATGGAGTACCCACAGATACCGGGAACCTCAGCACTTCAATACGAAGTTCTACCTACCATATCAACAGATGGACCTCTACCAGAAGCGCTGACTTCACCAAAACCTCCTGGTTTAGGCTCTAAATCTATATTCGCATTTTGGAACTCAGGTATTCATAACTTACCTCCCAATCTCCTACGCAATGTCATCGCTTGGTACCGTCGCTTCTCACCACTAGGATGGACCATCTACGTACTTGACGTCGTGCCGGATTCTTCACTCAATGTAGCTAATTACATCGATACCGAGTCGCCTTTAGTGGTACCAGCAGCGTTCACGCGCGGCACCCTGAACGGACACTATGCTGCACAACACACCTCAGATCTCATCCGGTATCCACTCCTGCTGAAGTACGGTGGCGTATATCTCGATGTCGGTATTCTGCAATTTGGGGACCTGGACCAGCTATGGACTAAACACATTGTCAACCCGGACTCCCCATACGATTTCGCCAGTTTCACAATGGGTTCAGATCTGCAGATCGTAAATTTTGCGCTCATGTGTGGTGCGAATAACCCGCTCGTGCAACGCGCACATCATATCCTACTCCAGGTCTGGAAAGGCAAGACCAGAGTTGCTATCAGTCAATCAGTCAGTTGTCAGTTCATCTTTGCGGTTCAAACTGTCAGTCTGGAGGTAGTGAACTGACCTGATTGACTGCCAAGACATTTTTTAGAATCGCGAACTGAGACTG